GGAAGCTAACTCACCTTAATTATAATATTGTTGAAAATATTCAGGAGGATGGATTGCTCTACATTGAATGCGATCCTAATGGAGCAGACACATGGAAACTGGATTCAGCTGTGGAGCTTCTTAAAAAGGGAGCTGTTGGTGTCATTCCCACAGATACTGTGTAAGTCCAACACCAATAATAACTTATTTCTTATAATTTATGACAGCATTGATCACTAACAGCAATTTGTTAATATATGTAGCACTTATTATATTATTTCTTTGTGCTGTTAATAGGTATGCTATGGTTTGTGATATGACTAATCATGATGCCATTGAACGTCTACGAAGGTAGATCTTTTGTACATATTAAAAGATGTTGAATGACTGAATCTTCATATAAAGTCAAAATCTCAAGTGTAGTTTCTCTTTTTTTATATTTATGTTGTAGGTTGAAAGAGGTTGAAGCTTCAAAGGCAAGCCATTTATTCATTCATTCTGCTTCAGTACTGTAATAATGTCTTGTCTTGTGAAAAGAAATAAAATTGCTATATTATTATTATTATTAACATTGTTTTTAATGTGAAAATGACAACTGTTGCAGCCATTTAGTATTTTGTGTCGTTCCCTCCATGACATTGATACATATACGACTGGATTCCCTCGTGGGAACAGTGATGGTATTTCAGACATTTTCAGAGCTGTGAAACATTGCTTACCTGGACCTGTAAGTATGGTTTTTTACTTTCTTCTCTTAATGTTAAAAATTGCACATAACTTTACTTGATCTAGATAAAGTGTACACTTGTATGGATTAATAATATTTGAAATGGAAAGAGGAAAGAAATTTTCCCTATTTTAGCTGATGGTTTCCTGTTTCTGTTAATGTTTGTTATAGTACACTTTCATCTTAACTGCAAGCAAAGCATTACCAAAACAGTGTATAAAATACGGAACCACAACTTCTAAATACGCATCTAGGAAAAATTTGGGTGTCCGCATACCTAGTGATGCTGTATGTCAAGCTGTATTGGAGAAGATGGGTGCACCTCTTATTTCCACAAGGTCTTTCTTCATCATTTCTTAATTATTACTATATTATAACCACAAAATTTAGCATCATCTATATTCTATGGTCTTTTTAAATCGTATATAAAAAAAATAGTTTATACTTTATACTTTATAGTGATGTTAGTGGTTAAATGCTTCAGTGTGAGGTCACCGGAGGAAAACCGATGGATAATTGACCCGGTGTTGATAGCTGATGCATACGGACCAGAGGTACCCATTTTGTCCAAAAGTCATAAGTCAATTTTTGGTTGAATATTATTAATTTAATTATGATTATGATTATTTCAGGGTCTTAATTTTGTAATCGATGCTGGTGTGAGAGTGGCTAATCCATCTACTGTGGTGGATATGATTAAGACTCCCCCAACAATTATTCGTCAAGGGAAGGTAACATTTTCAATGTTTTCACATGTGAGGATAAAAACAATAGTTTTGTGGATAAAAGCCTAAAACACTCGATATGTTGTGTGTGTTTTGTATTTCCTGTCATTTGGAAAGTAGAGAATATATATAATGGTTTTTATACTAAAAAAATAACTAACTAATTGAATAGATAAAATGGTAGAAAGTATCTGTATTCTGGCCAATCTGATATTTTGTATGTTATTGGTTTTAGGGTCCTAAACAACCATGGATGGTTGAAGAAGAAGGAGAAGATGGTGATGAAGAAAGAGATTCGATTTCATCTACTGCATAGTTAACACTCCCTGTACACTTGTAAATTGTGAAGCTTAGAATCTGCTAATTCAGTCCACAATAGCCAACAGGAGTTTTTCCATTTTGCTTTTTGGGTGGAAAAATCTTTAGAAAAATATCTCCTTTTTAATCTACTTGTAAATTTACAAGATCAAATCAAGAGCTTTTTCAATCATTTTTTTAATTTTAATCAATTAGTCACTAATGTAAGTCGTAATAACATGTTAAATTATATTACAAACCTAAACAATACTAAATAAAGATGTCTACAAACATAACCATAAAAAGTAGAAAATCGTTTGTATTGTTAATATATGTAAATTTAAGTTGTACCTTTATTGATTGTGTTGTATTAATTTATAAGATAAAGTGAAATTCGTATGTAATATTTTCTTTCGTTTTATTTTATGCAACAAAATATATAAAACCTACCCCTGAAAATTTTGTAAAAATGTAAATACAAAAAGTCAAAAGTTATATATTCTATTTAGTTATATAAATTTAATTTCAAACATATGCAATAAAAAATAAAAATGATATAAACTAAATTTACGGGGCCATAAATAATGAAAATGCTTTACTACAGTCAATCCGAGTTTGATGGTGCTAAACCCTTATTTTGGTGGGTTTTTCTTGGAACTATCTTGTATTCAAATAAGAAATGAGGGATTTATTTTAGATTTGACACGAAAAAAAGTTTTACTAATAGGACTAATGACATATGAAAGGCCTAAATTTTGTAAAGTTATTTGATTTTACATTTTTTTTTTTGCTAAAACCGGTGGTTTGCAATTTTTTTTTTTTCAATTTTATTATTTTTGGATTAAACTGGTCATTTGCTAGTCACCAGCACAAATGGCACGTCATGTGTGCTGAGAGGGCTAACCATTCCATGTATGGACATTGGACACATTTCTTTTCATAGTCCAGAAATGATATATATGGTTTAAGTTAAACATACGTCAATCCATGTATATCTTTATCACATAAATTTAATTATGATAATATTTTTTATAATTAATAATTCTTATATATTCTTAAAACACATATCAGAAAATCCAATCTTAAATGGGATAATGACTTGAAAGGGTAACGAACTTTTGACTTTTGTCACATTTAGTCACTAAACTTTTTTTCGTTATCTATTTGCCATTGAACTATTGAAACTGTTCACATTTTACCCTTATGACCGGCTGTTACCGGTCATAAGGGTAAAATGTGAACAGTTTCAATAGTTTAGTGGCAAATAGATAACAAAAAAAAAGTTTAGTGACTAAATGTGAACAAAATCGAAAGTTTGTTTCCCTCTAAAAAGTTCAATGACTAAATGTGAACAAACTTCCTATTGTATTATGTTTTAGCAAAATTATTTATTTTCGTTTAATTGTAGCAACATTTGTTGATGAAGAAATTTATGAAATAAAAAAACAAAATGCAACATCCGGATTTCCAGGTATCATAATTTAAGTATTTTTCTTTTGAGTTAAGAAGAGAGACTTGGCGAGTTGACGCCTCAACTTGTCGAGTAAGGTCGCGACTGATGATTCGGATTAATGAATGGACTCGACAAGTCGGTGAGGCGACTCGACGAGTCTGCGCTGTTGGCAGAAACCCTAAATCTTTGGGCCCGAGCCATATTTAAAGGCACGTATGGCCTTCAATTGCCACTACATTTCCCATAAGTGAGAACCCTAGCGAGCTTGAGTGTGTAGAGTGAGAGGAAGAGCTATCTTGAGCTTTTTGGTGTGATAGATCTGGACCCTTCTAGGTTCAGAGAGCCAAGAATATGAAGCTTTAGTAGAGTAAACATTGGGGTTCGAAGTTAGGAAGCATTTATGGGATTTTTATGGTAGATATAGTTACTTTCATCTTATACATAGATATGAAGTATTTTATATAAATTACGTGTTATGTGTTCATATTATTTGAATACTTGTTGTCCATGCTAGATGAACGATTTTATACATGTTTTAAAAGATTTAAACGGTATATTTATTTTATATCTACAAATATGTTGCGGATGAAACATGGGTAGATGAAATAGTTGGTGTGTGATGAAATAAAATGATTAGATATATGTGATGATAGAAAGGTGATGATAATTAGGTATATAGATGATGATGAATATGTGATGTAGGATGAAAGGAAATACCATAACCTTAACCAGCAATGTGGCGATGTAGTCATCTACCAAAGTATAGATGGCGATCACGGACTATTCTAGACAACACAGTGGAAACACCAGCATGCCCATAACCTGTAGGTGATGAATTACGAGTTCAAGCGATGTTGTAACTATGTATTCATGCGATGATACTCTAACCCCTTACTATGAATTACGAGTTCAGACGATGTTGTAACTACATATTCATAGGATGTCACAAATTTCGAATGCCAAACCAATGGTCATAATTCACATCAGTGAGATTGGTTCATTTTTTTGTAAAACCAAAATCAGATTAGAAATTTTGATTTTTTATTTTGGAAAATGTCAAACCATTGGTTTTGCATTTCGATTTTGGTTTTTTGTTTTTTTTTTAAATATATTTTCAGGGTTTTGTTTTGTTTTGTGTTTGTTGTTTTTTTTTTTTTTTTTTTTTTTTTTTTCTATTTCATAGATTTCTTCATCAACAAATGTTGCTATAATTTAATAAAAATAAATAATTTGCTAAAACATAATACAAGAGGAAGTTTGTTCACATTTAGTCATTTAACTTTTTAGAGGGTAACGAACTTTCGACTTTTGTCACATTTAGTCACTAAACTTTTTTTTCGTTATCTATTTGCCATTGAACTATTGAAACTGTTCACATTTTACCCTTATGACCGGCAACAGCCGGTCATAAGGGTAAAATGTGAACAGTTTCAATAGTTCAATGGCAAATAGATAACGAAAAAAAGTTTAGTGACTAAATGTGACAAAAGTCGAAAGTTCGTTACCCTTTCAAGTCATTATCCCATCTTAAATTATGACCATTTGAACGATTTCAATTTGAAGTAGTCGACATCTCATGAAACCGAGCTAAAATTTGAACTCCCGCTTAAATTTCTGTAGTTTTAAAATTGAAACTTTGATATCCGTTTTCATGTTTTTTAAGTACTTTCTATCTCCCGCAAGATTCTCCACCAAATTTCAAAATCACCCGCTTCCCATTCAAACATCCCCCCCTAAACTTCCATTATAAGCACCTTTGTACGCTTCTCTCATTCTCATCAACTCATATTCTTCTTACAGTTTCCAATAAGACGAAAATATGCCTTCCATCCCTGAAGAGCCTCTTCTTGCTCCAAACCCAGATAGATTCTGTATGTTTCCAATCCAATACCCTCAGATCTGGGAAATGTACAAAAAAGCAGAAGCTTCGTTTTGGACGGCGGAGGAGGTTGATTTGTCACAGGACCAGCGTCAGTGGGACAACCTAAGCGACGGAGAGAGGTACTTCATCACTCACGTCCTCGCCTTCTTCGCTGCCTCCGATGGAATCGTATTGGAAAACCTCGCCGGACGGTTCATGAAAGAGGTCCAAGTTGCGGAGGCGCGTGCCTTCTACGGATTCCAGATCGCAATCGAGAACATCCACTCCGAGATGTACAGTCTCCTTCTCGAATCATACATCAAAGACTCCAACGAAAAGAGTAGGTTGTTTCGTGCAATCGACACAATCCCTTGCATCCAGAAGAAAGCGAAATGGGCCCTCAGGTGGATCGACGGATCTGAAACCTTCGCAGAACGTATCATCGCTTTTGCCTGCGTAGAGGGTATCTTCTTCTCCGGCAGCTTCTGCGCCATATTCTGGCTTAAAAAACGAGGGCTCATGCCGGGTCTGACATTCTCGAACGAATTGATCTCACGAGACGAGGGTTTGCACTGTGACTTCGCGTGCTTGCTTTACAGCCTGTTGAAGATGAAATTGAGTGAAGAGCGTGTGAAGGCAATCGTGGCTGATGCTGTGGAGATCGAGAGAGAATTCGTTTGTGAAGCATTGCCGTGTGGTCTGGTTGGAATGAACGCCGATCTTATGAGCACATACATCGAGTTTGTAGCAGATCGATTGATTGGTGCTTTGGGATACGGGAAGATGTACAATGTTCAGAACCCATTTGATTGGATGGAGCTGATTTCATTGCAGGGTAAGACCAATTTTTTCGAGAAGAGGGTCGGCGAATACCAGAAGGCATCTGTCATGTCTAATCTCAATGGCAATGGGGATTCCCATGTTTTCAAGATGGATGATGATTTCTAAATTAGGGTTTTTACTATGTCATAAAACCTTTACAAAAAATTGTTGTTTTCTCTTTGTATTATCAATTTAGGTGTAACAAGTTATATAATTAGTGTGTTTAATAAATTTACGTTAATGAATTGTGTCTTTTACAAAAAAAATTATATAGGAATTTTGTTGGTAATATATCTCTTGCTTTATATATTAACTAGTTGCTAGTTATTAACTCTTCTTCAACTTGGTGCGACTAATATTCCTAGTTTTGGTGTAGGGATAAGATTATAAACATTGTCATGACAACTGATAACTGACAAGTGGCAAAATGCTAGTAAAATCCTTTGTTTTTCATTCATTAAATCCCAGGATTTGTACAACGTATATTTGAAGTCTGATAAATATAGACAAAGTGACAAGATACGAAAAAAAAAAAATAAACAATTTAAATGTTTTGTTACTCTTTATAAATGTCATTGGTGTAACTTTCAGCATCGGGTCGAGATGGCCGAGTTGGTCTAAGGCGCCAGATTAAGGTTCTGGTCCGAAAGGGCGTGGGTTCAAATCCCACTCTCGACATTTATTTTTATTTTTCACATCTCCCACTCAATATTCCTAGATTCTAGTCTGTGATAAACCACTAACACATTTTGCCATAACTTTGTCATCACAATATAAGTTTTAGATAATCAACAAAAAGTAAAGCAAATTGCAATGCAATTTTAACTAGTGTAGCCTTGTAGGGACCCACGCTTTTCGCATGGGTCGGAAGACAATTTTTTTCTTCATATTTATTTGTATATGGAAACATGTTATTTATATATTTGTCTTGAAAGATTGTTATTGAAAGCACAATGTGTTTATAAAATGTTATAATAAAAAGAATTAAAAAAGAGAAAGATTGTCTAGTCATAAAAAGTAGATAGATTTTATGACACTTCATTTCCCATTAGCATCACCAATACATGTCCAATTATTTTCCATTACATTTACGTATGAAATCTGCAAAAACATATTTGAAATAAGTTAACTTAACAAATCAGAGTACTCAAATTCCGCACTTTTGGCAACTATAAAATGGAATCTCAAATTCCAATTACATTGTTAGAGATATCATAGCTTACTTTCACGCTTACATCTTGATCTTTCTGAAAATCAAGAATATTCCAACACAATTCAGCTGCTCCACTTGGTGTTGGCTTTAAAAAAATCAAAAGTAAGTACCAAACTTAAATTAAAGTTTACATCCTTTTGTTACCTAATTTTGCTTTGTATTCTAAAGGATAAAAGCAACACCACAAAAACACATAATTAGTACATGATTATATCATTAAGATATATCCAAGAGCAACACATCCATCCAACTCATCCAAGTTCTTGATACAAGAAATCCATGACATCAGAAATTAAACATAAAAGTTTTGGTGTCATTGGTCCAACAATTATATGCCAACGTTTATGCAATAAATAGAAATGATTAAATGCAGGAAACTTAAAAACCAAAATAGCAATATACTTATGACTTCATTCCAAAATAGCAATCTACTTGTATTATTTACCTGTTTAACATGATCAAAGGGTATATAAATCAAGGAATGCCCCAAAATAAGGATTAAAACTAATATAATAATAAATAAAAAGAGTTAAATGCAGGAAATAGCGAGGCAACACATAAAATTAATATAATATTTAAAAAAAATTAAGTGAAAGAGTTGAATGTCCCAAAATAAGGACTAAAACAGCTAATCTTCAATATTATGCACATGTAACAATATCCACATGTTGGTGATGGACATTCTTACCTTTATCATATTACTTTTACCACCACATACCCGACTACCACCACTACTAAATACATTTGGATTAGGTCAAAAAATAAAAAAGTAGTTAAAAAGCAACACAATCAATGTTTGAAACAAAAAATACAATAGAAAAAAGCATCAAACTCGATGTTTGGGTAAAAAAAAAGCATAAATAGAAAAAAAAAAAAAAAAAAGGAATAGGAATGTGGCTGGGTAAAAAAAATTCAAAAAATTAAGAAATATAAACATACTTAAAGTTTTGGTGAAAAAAGGTTGACATGAATGTGTCTTGGGTAAAATAGATAAAACAACAAAGGCTTGTTTTGTTTTTTCTCCAACTCCTTCAGCCAAAATGTAATGCTTGAGTTGCCAGGTATTTCCTTTTTGCCGCTTATTCATATAGTAAAAATAATATTATGATTTTAAGAGGAGGGCCTTACGCTAGGCGTACATAGTGTATGCACGACATTGGTGAGGCGCGAAACGGGGGAAGCCCCCTGCGCAGATTGGGTGTATCCATGCGTATGCTGGCCAGATACAAACCCTAAATTTTTGGGTTTGCACCTTATTTAAACGTCTTAAGTTCCTCCCAACCCTCATTCTCCCAGCCTCCACTATCCCTAAAGTGTTAAACTCGAACCCTAATCCCCTTGCATACATATTAAGCTTAATTTAAGCATTTTTGGTGATATTTGGTGATTTTGAAGAAGAAGGAGTTTAAAGAAGGAGTAAGGAGGTGAAGAGGACTTGTAGATCTAGAAGTTTGGCATCATTTCTAACTCATTTGAGGTATAAAGCTTTAATCTTGACCATTACATGCTTAGATCTAGTTTTGGGGTGTTATATGTCATATTTTGGTCCCATAGTTGAGGTTACTTGAGTTCTAGAGGTTCCAGTCCATATGAGCTGTCATTTTAGGCTCTTGGAGGTGTTTGAAGCCATAAAATTGGACCTTGATGGTTTAGCCTTAACAATGCAAGTGCTAGATAGCAACTAAGTGAGCTTATGGATTTAATTTGTGTCTTAATTCCCATCCATGCATGCAAAAGCATAAAGTTTATAACTTTATGGTTTATGACGTCACAAGGAAGTTCTTATGTTGGTTGGCCGGTATGCTGGCATACCCTTGGTACGCTGTGTGTACTGGGTAAACCTCCCGTATCTGGTCAAGGCCAGCGTATGCTGGGCGTATGTGTCAAGTACGCCGCGTGTATACATGTAACGGGTCAAAATATGGTTTTTGGGCCTGGAATTGTTGGGCCTTAAGCCCACCTGTGGACTAAGGCCTCTGGGCTTAGACCTAGGATTTATTGTATTGAGCCTTAAAGCTTAGTTGGTTGGACTTGGGCATTTTATTTTGAAAGTTGGGCCTTAGGAGGAAGAGGTCCAATAGGGAAAAGATTAGCGAACCTTACCTTATGTTATGAGTCAAGGTTTGGACCATGGGGTCAGGTTTAGATCTAATGACCAATTAGGAAATTTGTTGGGCTATAGGGAGAGGAGTTCTGAGTCATCCAAGGAGTACGATTTGACATTCACAATTGAGGTGAGTCTCCTTTCATAGAATTTGTGGGTCGAAGGCACCAATGTCGGCCCACTAGTTATGATATGGCATGATGATTCTCTTTGTGATAATTATCGATTGTGCATGTATTATTTGATGCTTTTGTAAATTAAATGTAATATCATTTAGTAGTGGTAGGGGTGAAATAGACCCGATATCCGATTGAAACGAAGGGGTAGGTTGAGCACCCATAGATGTTCGACATTATCCGACTAAAATAAACCGAAGGGGTAGGTCGAGTACTCATATATGTTTGACAATGCCCGGTTGAAATAGGCCGAAGGGGTAGGCCAACACCCGGATATGCTTGGTAGTATGTTTACTTTATATGTGGTATCGTGGGGAAACTCACTAAGCTTTGTGCTTACTATTTCAGTTTGTGTTTCAGGTACTTCCAGCTCAAAGGGGAAGGGGCCGACTTGATCGCATCGCATCACACTATGATTTTCTGCAAGTAGAGATTTTGGGACTTATGCTCTGATAATGTTTCCCTATGAACTGTCTTGATTAAACACTATAACTATCTTGTGTTTTAATGGTTTTGAAATAAATGATGTTTTGTGCTTGTGAATTTGGTAAATTTAGAAATGATATTTTTGGATCGTATTTTCGGGATGTTACATAAACATTCTGATAATCACATAACTAAATGGTTGGTTGCAAATTGTAGTTCAATCTTGTCTTTTGAAAGCGTAAATTGTGGAACCATAACCCCTGCATTGTTACTTTTGATAACATAAACCAAAAATCTAGTATCAGTCATCTCCAAAACAAAAGGATAACATAAATTCACATACCAAACAACAAACCAACAACTAATTTAATTAAGAGGATACACATGTTAATGGCAATAAAACAAAGAATAAATCATTATATTGTTCTTGCATTTTATTATAGGAATTATGCGATGACTCTCTAATCATTAAAAAATATATATTAACTGAAAAGCGAGAAAAATAAGAAGTTAAACCATTGTAAGGCAATATAGTTTTCTCCTAGTGCAAAGTTCCCAATACATCCATTTTGTTTGAGTTGTAATTCTTATTTTGTGTGTGTGTGTGTGTGTTTATAAGAGAGAAAGGAGAGAGAGAGAGAGAGAGAGAGAGAGAGAGAGAGAGAGAGAGAGAGAGAGAGAAGTGATCTTGAAGAATGAAAATGGCCCTGAACAAAAAGTGAATTTTCATGGGAACCGAAAAGTTTGATATGTATCTATAGAAAATATATACTTAACTATTGCGGTCAAAGTTGTCTATTGATTTGGCCTTGTGGTTGCTATTGTTAGAAAGTTACTCCTAAGTGTAGAAATAAAAAAAACTCATATATAGGTTACCTTTTGATGAGCATTCTAAGTTTAAGTCAGAAATAAATCCTTACTCCTAGTTCGCTTAAAATAATGCTCTGATTCCAAGTGTAACATCCCCAATTTCACAGCCAGAAAAAACTGATATGTTTATGCTTATTTGAAATTAGAGTATCATTTTCGAAGAATAATATTGCGAAATTTGTTCCCAAGAACATAATATTGATTTTATCAAAGCATTTCCGAGGAAATGTATTTTATTTATATTAAAACGTTAGGATGTCATCGTTAATACAGAAACATAACCATAACGAAATATTACAACCCTTACAGTAATTAAACTAGTGACCTAATACTCATT